CTCTCTCTCTCTCTCTCTCTCTCTCACACACACACACACACACACACACACACACACACACACACACACACACAGGAGGCCCTGAGGAAGTCAGGGTTAAAATGAAACACGGCTCACAGCAGCCAAACCATGGGAACACATCAATGCCCACCCACAGATGGATGGAGGACTAAGACACACATTCCGTGTCCCCTTCATCTCCATCTACTCAAGGCAACTGGCTTGCTTTGGTTAGCCATTCAAGGGGCGGAAGACTGGCCCTTAATTAACCCTGGCTGTGCATTAGAATGACCCATGGAATGCTCCACAGGACAGCTCTCCCACTCCCCACCCCACCCCCAATGGAAAGAGGATGGGCTGCGGTCAAATCAACATTTTAAAATGTCCCAGGAGGAAATAACAATAAGAATGTATAATTGGTCAAGGATACAGGAGGGTGGGGAGGGAGGGGGAAAGAGGAGCTGATACCGAGGGCTCAAGTAGAACATGTTTTGGAGATGATGATGGCAGCCGATGTGCAAATATGCTCGATACAAATGATGTATGGAATGTTGTAGGAACCCCCAATAAAATGAGTTTAAAAAATAAAAATAAAGTGTGCCCAGGCAGATGGCACGTGCAGGCAGAAATCCACCGAGCTGCAGGACACCGGGCTTCGAGGCCAATGGTGATTCTTCCCTGGGCTTCCTGCAGGGTCTCCCGGAGGAGCTAAACTTGGGAGAGGGGGTGCACAGGGGACAGCAGGGTCGCTGGACTGGTCGTCTGAGGATGGTGCTGATACAGTGGGGTTCACACAGAGGGGATGGAGCCCCAGAAACGCAAGGGTGTTTGTGAGTTGGAAACGTGGCCAATGGCCTAGTGGGATTTGTGAGTCTCGAGAAGGGGAGTGATGGCCACCCCCTGGCACCATTCTGAACCCAGGGACGGCATGGCTAGGATTGTGAAGGCCGCTGAAATGCAGCGACAACATCTGTAGGGAAAACTCGAAAGGCCCAGGCTGGCTGGGAAGAGGAGCATCCGAGAACGCAGCCAGAAAAGGCTCCATGCATGTGTTGCCTTAGGAACAAAACAGACTCACCGCTGAATTCTTTCTTGAGGAAGTACTGGAAGCTCTGCCGGCCCTTGGGATCGCGGATCAATTCGCTGAAGTTGAAGGCCCATCGTTCCACCCGCATCTTGGTTGGGACTTCCACTCTGCAAGAAGGGGAGAGGGCAGCTTATATCTGCAGTGGACACTCGGTGGACAGGCAGTCTGTGGCAAGACACCGGTCCCCCATCTTCCGTCTGTCCCGTGATCCAGGGGAGCTATGGTGCCTCCGGCTCTCCCGACAATCACTTCACTAGGAAAATGTCAGGGGGTCCCCTGGCCTTGCTTCAACGCGACTGCCATCCCCCGGGGAAGGACAGGCCGATGGTGGTGGTGGATGGTGATGTCAGACTCACCACCCCTCTTCGGGACAGCACCGTTGACCATGCCACATGTGGAAAGATCATCCTCAGAACCAAGGAGTGAGCAAGATGACTCCCGAGGCAGGTTGTGTCCCTGTCCTCCCAGCACATTAATTTTACTCGAATTAGATACCAGATATGACAAGTTATAAAGATCATTTTTCTGATTTTCACAAAGAAATGGGGAGGGATTGTTAGGGCCAGAAATTCCACTCCCCGGTATCTATTCAAGAGAAATGAAAACATCTGTCCACGCAAAAAGCTGAGCCCAGATGATCAGGATGGAACAATTTGAAGTAGCAAAAGTAGAATCAACCCAAATGTCAATCAAGGAGTAGATATACAAAACGCCACGTGGGGCCTATCCACCCAATGGGATATCACGCAACTGTCAAAAGGAATCAAAAACGTACCACAAGGATTGGACCTTGACAACATGAGGCAAATGTAAAATGACTGATCTATGTTAAGTGGGGAGTGTGGAGAGCTAGTCATAAAAAGACCACATCTGGGTGCCCAGCGATCAAAAGATAGAGCATCTGGGGTCTTGGTTGAAGACAAACAAGTGGCCATCTAGGTGAGCAGCAACAAAGCCCACATGGAAGAAGCACGCCAGCTTGTGTGATCATGAGGTGTTGATGGGATCAGGTATCAGGCATCAAAGACCCAGAACAAAAAATCATATCAATGTGAAGGAGGGGGAGTGCAGAATGGAGACCCAAAGCCCAGCTGTAGGCAACTGGACATCCCCTTACAGAAGGGTCACAAGGAAGAGACGAGCCAGTCAGGGTGCAGTATAACACTGATGAAACATACAACTTTCCTCTAGTTCTTCAGTGCTTCCTCCCTCCTAATATCATGATCCCAATTCTACCTTACAAAGCCAGCTAGACCAGAGCATGTACACAGGTACAGATCTAAACGGGAAACACAGGGAATCCAGGACAGATAAACCCCTCAGGACCAATATTGAGAGTAGCAATACCAGTAGAGGAAGGTGGCAGGAGAAAGGGGGAACCGATCACAATGATCTACATATAACCTTCTCCCTGGGGGACAGATAACAGAAAAGTAGGTGACGGAAGACATCAAACCGTGTAAGACATGAAAAACTATTAATTTATAAATTATCAAGGGTTTGTGAGGGAGAGAGGGGGGAGAGGGGAAAAAATGAGGAGCTGATACCAAGGGCTCAGAAAGGAATTGTTTTGAAAATGATGATGGCAACAAATGTACAAATGTGCTTGACACGATGGATGCGTGAATGTATTGTGATAAGAGCTGTATGAGACCCCCATAAAATGATTTTTTAAAAGACCCCACATCTGGTCACTTATACTCGTATTATATTAAATGTCCAGAACAAGAACCGATGACAGAGATAGGAAGTGGACGAGTGGATCTCTCGGACTGGAGGGCGAAGGTGTAATCACTCTAGGATACGGGGTTGCACGTTGGGGTGATGGGGATGTTCTGCAATGAGATTACGGGGATGGTTACACAAGGAGATCTGGTGGCACTGTGGTTAAAGTGCCCCGCTGCCAAACGAAAGGTTGGTAGTTCAACCCCACTAGCCGCTCTGCAGGAGAAAGACGTGGCAGTCTGCCCCAGTGAAGACCAGTCTTGGACATCCTATGGGCGGGCATTCTACTCTGTCCTGCACGGTCACTAGGAGGGGTTTGGTTTGGGTTTGGCTAGTTGCCCAACTTTGTGAATATACTAAGAGCCACTGAATTGTATAAATCCAATATATGGCATGTGAATTACATATCAATAAAACAGGTGTTTTGTAATCTATCAACACATACAATTTGGCGTTTAGGTCCCAGAACTGCGTGTCATCTGTTATCCAAGGGTTGCTGGGGAGGCAGCCTGACATGATGGCGTCGTTGGACAAGAACTGCTCGCTGTACTTGACGATCCTGAAAAAAGCAAGCGGAACGTGACCCCCTAGAAGGTCAGCACCCAAGGTGACCAAGTCAACGGTCAGGCTGATGGACCCGCAGGTGTTTTCCTTGACTCGTTCCATGATCGCATGACTCTCTTCTTAGACCGTCATCTGACTCTCTTCTCGAATCTCCCTTGGGGTTGGCAGGCACTCGACAAGACCTGTGGTCTAGCGGTACGTGCTGGGCTGCTATGCGGCAAGGTCAGGCGTTTGAAAGCACCGGCTTCTCCATGGAAGAAAGATGAGGCTTTCTGCCACCTGTAAAGAGTGACCATCGCGGGAGCCCACAGGGACACTTCTAGAGGGTCCTAGAGGGTCGCTAGCGGTCAGAATCAGTTAGATGGTCATCGGTCTGGTTTGGGGTTGGGGAGTCCTGCTGGGACAGTCGTTCAATGCTCTACTGCTGGTGGGAGGGTCAGCCCTTCACCAGCCTCTCTGAGAGAGAAAAAGGTGGCAGTCTACTTCTGTAAAGATGTGCAGCTTGGGAGTGGTGGGGGGGGCAGTTCAACTCTGGGTTGGTTCCACTTGTGACAATGCTCATTGTCCCCTTTGGAGTTTACCCTCCCCAATTGTGTCCTGTTTGGATCAGGACCGTAGGTTTCCCGCTGATCCCGAGCCGGCTGTTAAATCTGAGGTTAACAGTGGACATGTGGTGAGGAAACACAGCGCATCTGTCCCTAATACGTCGGAATGGTTCGTGATGTGAACGAAGCCGAGCTTGGAGCCATGCAGGAGCCAACCTAGGGCCTTCTGACTCTTCCCCACCCCCATCCACATACAAAACAACACTCCAACGAAGAGCTCTAGAACCCCACTCACCCCTGATTTTGCCTAACCCAGCGGTTCTCAACCTTCCTCATGCCGTGACCCCTTCATACAGTTCCTCATGCTGTGGTGGCTCCCAACCAGAACATTATTTTTGTTGTTACTTCATCACTGTCATTTTGCCACTGTGATGATTCGTCATGTAACTATCTGATTTGCAGGATGTCCTTAGGCGACCCCTGTGAAAGGGTCGTTCGACCCCCAAAGGGGTCACGACCCACAGGTTGAGAACCGCTGGCCTCCCCTAAGATGAGAAGTGGGAGCAGGATCCGGAGGAAAGACCCGGGGACTAAGTACACAAGAACCTAGCCTGGTCTTGAAGACCCTCAGTCAGTCCACGAGTCACCTTGCCTTCCCGCAAACGATCTCCTCTTGCCTACGCACTGCTCAGAGCTCAACGTTACCAAGAAATCGGGCACGTACCCTCCCAGGGACACAGAGGACTTCACCGTGGACCTCATCAAGGCCTGTTGGTAGTACATGATCTGGAAAGGACACAGCCGTTAGAAGATGTCCCCCATCCCACCCCCCCTGGAGTGTCCCTGACACTGACCTTTACATATGGCTTCAAAATTGAGGGGCCTTTTTCCCATCACAACCCTGCCTGCCCCCACCCCAAACCCACCCCAAACCAGCCATCTACACACCAGTGACCCCGAACTCCAGAATAGTGGCCTCCTGAAGCCATCCCGGCAGGAGAAAGACGGAGCTCTCTGCTCCCGTGAAGAGTTAGTCTCAGAAACGCACGGGGGCAGGTCTACCCTGTCCTACAGGGTCGCCACGAGTCAGTATTGACTCAAAGGCAGCGAGTTTGGGAACCCCTCATACATGAGCTGGGGAAGACCCTGGCTAATTACAGATGTTCACATAAACACTGAAGAGTCAGTAGTTCACATGTTCGGCTGTAAACCCAACGGATGGGTGTTTGAGTGTACCCAGAAGCACCTTGGAAGAAAGGCCTAGTGTTCTACTTCTGGGGGGGGAGGGAACCCTCCACTGAAATCCCTGTGGAGTGTAGTTCTACTCCGACATTCAGAGGGCCGGAATCGGTCCCACGGCAGCTGGAAACCGGCGAGTATTAACCCCAGATGGGGAAGCAAAGGTTTGGCTATTCCTTCAGGTGCGTGGAGCCGAGCGAAGAAGGTGACATTCTCATCCTTCCTGGTTCCGTAGCTTCTGCAGGAGCCAGCATCCCCCTCTCCAACCACCTGCCTCCAGGTCGGCTGTCCATTGACATAGCCCACCTCGATGGCCCACCCTCCCCAGGTTTCTATCTTGACACTCGGGTCTGGGAGGTGCAACACATTTGCCACCCTGGACAGCTACTGCCAGATCTCTGTGTGTGAGCAGGAACCAGGTGGGGAGGGGACACGCTGTAGCAATAAGGCCCCTGTCCCCTCTGGCCACCCCTCTGTTTTGTGTCCCAGGGGTGTGCTTCCCATTCTGGTCTGGTCTCCGTGTCAGCCCCATTCAGGTCACCCAGACTTGAATTCTTGGCTTGCCATTCTCCGCTGCCGCCCATCAGTTGGGAAGCAGTTGTTGGCACGCGTCACAGGGCTTTCATTTCATTACAGAGTGCACAGCACTGGCCCGACGTCTATATAATTCGTCAACAGATTCGGAATCGAACTTAGCTGGAATTCGGGAGCCTAATTACCTCTTTTTTGACAGTCGTGATGGTTTGTTTCTGCAAAACAAAAAGCAAGAGCCATTAAACAGTTTCCAGTGAGTCGCTACAGTTCAAATGCCCACTTGAGAAAACAAAGATCCAATCCCCGTGAGAAAATAGTCCAGCTTTTCCTACTTAGGAAGCAAGATTTCCCCTCACCGCTTACCAGACCCCCGCCCTTCCCAGCCCCACCTCCATCCCTGCCACTGGAGGCTATCAATTCAGAGAGACCACGCTGGTTTGTTCTCATCTTCACCCAACGTAAGGCACCACTTTAGAAGACACGCGGTTTGGGTGGAGAGCAATCCCAGGTCTGGAAGGCATCTGTCTTCTAATCCGTAACATCACTCTACTCGCCTAACTGCCAAGATGAATTAAAGACTGAAGTCTGGGGACAGTTGCACTTGACCGTGCTGCCTGGGCTGTTGCTGTCGGGTGCCACCGAGCGAGCGCTGACCCACAGCGAGCCTATGCACAACAGAGTGAAGCGCAGCCTGGTCCTGCGCCAGCCTCGCAATTGGTGCTCTGTTTGCGCCCACTGCGGCCGCCATGGCGCCGATCCAGGTCACTGGGGGCCCTTCCTCTCGTTCGCTGACCGTCCACTTTACCACTTTACGGGACCGGAAGACCATCTTCGATGGGATGAGAGATGAAGTGAGGACCAGGGGAGTCCTGGGGCTGAGTCCCCAGGTGCACAATCAAGCTCACGGCTGGGAGTAGAAGCAGGATGCTCTCCCTCTGCGCCCTTGAAGTTGCAGCAGAAGGTGGACTGTCACAAGATGGACGTCGAGTTCAGGCTCTTGGAAACTCCTGGCAACTCTTCGGATCTAAGAGGGACCCGCCCCTTGGCATGATGTTTCTGCTCCATGTAGCCCTTTGAGGTCAGGCAAGGTGCTTTCTTAGGTCTGGTTGTGTCCAGGGGGCTGCTTGGTGCTCACGCTCACACGATAGACTCAGCCTCTTCCTTCCTGACCGCTAATGTCCATGAAGCATGTCCTTCGGTGGTACAGCCATTCACATGCTGTGCCGTTAGCCCCAAGGTTGGCAGAGGCATCTCTCTCTGGAAGAAAGCCCTATCTGTCTACTGCTGACAAACCCAATGGAGCACCGTTCTATTCTGACCCCATTAGGGTCACCATGCTACTCTGGCCACATGGGGTCACTCAGAATCGATTTGACAGCAACTGGGTGGCCCAGCTCGTGGGCATATTCAGGCTAGTTCGTGCAAGCAGGTCTTCCCTGGAACACAGTCAGAAGCCAGAGGTGGACACTGCTTCCCTTAGCCAGCCAGGAACATAGGCGCTGGCCCAGGTCTACTGGCCAGAAACAGAGAGTGGCATAGTGCTCCCGGGTCACATGCTAGCCTCGCCTCTCTAGTCCATGCCTTGCCAGGTGGCTTGCAGGTAACTGCTTCTCGTGGGGACTCTTTTTCTGGGAGGTAGGGGAGTGAGATGGGTTGTCTCAGACAGGCCAAGTTCAGATCCGTCTCCCTACCTGGGGCAGTCCCATGCCCTGCCTTCCTCCACAGCACTGATCACATGGCCATCACGTATGCTTTTGCGTGGCTCTCTCCCAAATGTGTGTGTTACTCCCTGGGCCTCCGTTCAGCCAATGGAATTGTGTGCCTCCCGCTGGTTCCCCATCCCCTGGCCTCAAGCCTCAGGCGGAGTAGGTGCTCAGGAAACGCTGAAGGAATGATGATTGCTGGGAGCCTGGGAGCCTGAGAAAATGGGATGCTTCCCAAGCTGAATGGAATTCTTTTTCTATTCTAAAAAAAAAAAGTGGAACACACACCCAAGGGAGCCCAGTGTTTCGGTGACCACACAGACCCTTTGTTCCTACTCTATCCCAACCAGCAGGCAAGTTGGATTGAAAAGGATCCTGGACCAGGGTGGACTTGCATTCAAATCTAACTCGTATAATGAGATCTTCCTGTTCATGCCACGGAGCCCTGGAGGCATCGTGCTCACCGATCAGGCTGCTAACCGCAAGGCTGGCGGTTCAAAACCACCAGCTGCTCTGAGAGAGAAAGATGGGGCTTTCTACTCCCTTAAATAGTTACCGTCTACCCTGTCCTGTAGGGTCACTCTGAGCCGGCATCTACTCAATGGCCGTGAGCCTGGGTCTTTGGCTGCTTAGTGCCATGCTGGAGTAGACTTCAGGAAAACACGTACTAACCTCTGCCCGCGCCTCAGAGGGGCGGCTGGCTTCTTGCGTCATAATAATCGCCTAAACCCTGGTGATCTTCTCCCAGGAGGGTCACAGCCTACAGAACCCTAGGGAGCAGACGTGTCACACGGGGGTCTCCCTGAGTTGAAATCAACTAGGCAGCACCTGACAACAGGCGGCAGCAGCCAGGAAGAGGCCCTGCCTGCATGGCACAAATGGTTACGAGTTGGACTATTCACCGAAAGGTAGGCAGTTCAAACCCACCCAGAGATGCCTCTGTCACAAGGCCCAGCGAGCTGCTTCGGAAGGTCCCAGCCCTACAAACCCACGGGAAGCCGTGTTCCTCTCTGCACACGTGGGCCACTGAGAGTCAGGATTGACTAGACATCGTGGTAAGCAATGGCACCTCTGTCCTCTCTGAACGAGACCTGACAAGAGAAAGGCCTTATGGTTGTAGTTCCCCTCCGAGGAAACCAAGGCACTGAGAGGTTGTGGGAACTTTCCCAGAATCTCCTGGTCAGCATTCAGCTGAACCTGGATTCAACCCCAGCTCCGCCTGATCCCGGTACCCTTGCCCTTGAACCCGATGATCAGTCTCTCTTCCTCAAAGCTGAGGACTGCTGCAGGAGAAGCCTGAGACAGTCAACGCTCCTCACTGTCCAGCCTAGCCTGTTGTTCCCACCTCTTCCTGGCTGGGCCTGAGGCTGAGACGCCTCTGTCCCATCATTAAATGTCCAGACAAACAGAGGAGGAGAGCCCCGATCACAAGGTGTGATGCAAGTATGGGACACGCGCTCTCATGAACACTCTTGACGGAGAAGATGGCCAACAGCATCAACACTCTCCTTCAACGCGCCCAGGCCCCAAGCTCCCTGTGGATGGAGCTTCCTGTGGATCACCACATGACTTCTACCTGTAGGTTCCTCCATCGACAAACACAGATGACCAATGACAGACGATGCTCCCTAAGAGACAAACACCACGTAGGGAGGGCCCTCACCCCTGGGCTCCAGGGGGCCCCCCCGGACACGCAGTGCTGCTCCGCCTCTCCTGGCTTTAAGGAGCCCTGCTGGTGGAGTGGGTTATGTGTGGGGCTACTAACCCCCGGGTCAGACCTTCAAACCCACCAGCCGCTGCTTCCAGGAGGAAGGACCCACTCCCATGCAGATTTAGTCTGGGGAACCCGAAGGAGCAGTTGGAGTAGACGCTGTCCCATAGGGTCACCGGGAGACAGAATCAACTCGATGGCAGAGGACTTCGTGTTGTCTCCTGGTTTTAGGTGTCCTGGGGTGCAATGGGTTAAGTACTGGGCTGCTGTGAGCAAGGTGAGTGGTTCAAATCCACCAGCCGCTCCACAGGAGAAAGAGGAGGCTGTCTGCTCCAGGAACGACTGAACCCTAAGGAGCAATTCTACCCTGTCCGTCTGTCCACGATGAGGTGGATTCCACGCAATGGCGGAGAGGGTCTCTCCTTGTTTGCCTTTGTCTGGCCAAGTGTGTCTGCTACCGGGGCCATGAACTCCATCGCCTGAATTTGTTTGGTTTTGACTCCTCATTTCTTTTCGTTTAAGGCTGTGTGCCTTCGGCGTTTGGCTTCTTATGCCAGATGTTTCCACCCGGGAACCAGACTGATGAACGGGCTCTCTAGCAACGGGGTCCCATGGAGCCTGCATCTCCCCCACCCCTACCTTGGGTTATCCACGTGAACTTTAGCTCATCTGGCCCCTACAGATCACTGTCCCTGGGACCAGCTTCCTTGAAATTGATGCCTGGGACATCTCTGTCCTTCTAGAAAGGTGAGGGTTCTGGGAGCTGGGGAGAAGGTTCTGGACTTTTCTACAAGTCGGAGAGGCAGTTTCATCTCAGAGGGGAGAGTGGTATAGGGAAGGGTGGACTTGGGGATCAGACCCAAGTCAAAGTCCTGGCCCCACATCACTGGCTGACTGTTCAGTGTTTCAGAGCCGATTTCCTCTCTTGGAAACAGGAGTAATGGGGGTAATAGGCATAAGCAGAGGTTCGATACACCAAACCAAAACCTAAACTTGCTGCCATAGCGTTGTCATCAGCTCCTAACGACTCTATATGACAAAGTACAAATGCCCCTGTGAGTTTCCAAGACTGTAACTCTTTATGGGAGTAGAAAGCCTCCTTGTTCCCCCTCGGAGCAGCTGGTGGTTTCAACCTGCTGACCTTGCAGTTAGTAGCCCAACATGCAGCCCCCTCTGCCACCAGGACTCCAGTAACGATCAATGACAGTGAGTTTGGGGACACAGTGGTTAAAGCGCTCCACTGCTATCCCAAAAGTCAGTGGTTCAAAGCCACCAGCGACTCCTCGGGGAAAAGATAGATGTCTACTTCTGTAAAGAAAAAAAAAAAATGCAGGGCAGTTCTACTAGGTCCTCTAGGGTCAGTGTGAGTGGAAATGGACTCAAAGACAGAGGGCGTACTCGTTAGGGTTGCTGTGCCGCTGCTGCTGGGCACGTGGACTGTGGGATCGCCACCCTAATGACAAGGCAGCGTACAAGACCTCTGAGACAGATGTGTGTGAGAGAATGTCTTCATGGTTTACCTACAATTCAAACTTAATTGGGTATTCTCTATTTTCATTTGCTGAATCTGTCAACTAGGAAGATTGCTCAGCCAAGGGCCACAGCAAACAGTAATTTAAAATAAAAGTATTTTACCACATATATACATGACCATATATGCATATACCTACTAAAGTAAATAAGCACAGGTGAAGTCACAGACCTCTCTCTCTCTCTCTCTCTCTCTCTCTCACACACACACACACACACACACACACACAACTTCTAAGCAGTTCTGAGAAAACCACCTTCCGGATGAAATAAACAGCCTTGCCCTGGAATTCACCCACGACCCCCTTCCCTTCTCCACACTCAACCCTCCTGGGGGAACCCTCCTCATTACTTAGGGTGGCACCCTCAGCCACAGCAGGGAGATGCTGCCTAAGGCCGCTTAGGGTGCCCTGCATTCTTGGAATGCTCAGGACGCACTGTTTCCCCTGGCAGAGCTGCCCAAACAGGGGCACATCCCTAGTTTGTTTACGCAGCTCTGTGGCTGCCCGGCTGCCCCCGAGCCCCAGCAGGAGGCTGGCTGCAGATAGAAGTTGAGAGGGGGCAGGAGAGGTGATGGATGATGGCCCTAGGGGGCCCTGGGGTCCCCACCAGACAGCCGGCCAGGAGGCCGTCAAAGGGATACAGCAGGAACCCTAGAGACAGGCAGGTGGGAGTCTGGACAGTGGACAATGTGGACAAGCAGCGGTGTGAAGGCCCTGGGCAGGGGGTCAGCTTGAAGCGGGTCCAAAGTCGGGACTCAGAAGCCCAGAAATGGAAGTGGTCAATGTGAAGCAGACAGGTGAGAGGCACCTGTCCATGGGATAAGGTGAGGTCAGAGTCGTCTGAAGAAAGACCCCAGACTGCCTGGGCCTTCCTCCAGATCAGGTGGAGGCAGGAGGGTTCAGGGCAAACCCATTAAGCACCTGGCTGGGCCTCCCTCAGACCCCACAGTCGGGGGTGGGTGGGGGGGGTGGCAGAGCCGGGCCTCACTCCGATACCAACACTCTTTTCAGAAGACCAAAGTGCTTCTGCTCATTAAGTGGCAACCAGATCCCTGTCCTGAATGCCCTGCTTCCATCACCTCAGCCACCGTCTTCTCTCGGTCCCAAGACAGAATCTGCACTCCTGAGGCCTCAGGGGTGGCTCTGTGGTTCCGGGGACCCTCTCCCTTTGGGCGGGGAGACATGGAAAGACGGGACACAGAGCCCTGACCCTCAGCCAATCGGTGGGGAGGCTGTGACCAGGTAAAGCACACAGCAGCCTCCATGTCCCTGAGCCACGGGAGCAGACAGGGCGGCTGGGGCTGGCAGAGGGCCGGGAAATAGGGGGGCGGGG